CAGCCAGGCCTGTGCCCTCTAGCAGTCTGGGAGCCCTTGGGGGGATGTCCAACTGATGGCTTAGGCCCGCTCTCTAAGCCACAGCCTGGCCTCTGCAGGAGGTGACCAGCTGGCCAATCAGGGTGGCACAAGCTGTTGAGGGGCCAATCCCGCCTCTCATTGCCCCATCACTACCACCAATGGCCTTCACTCTGCAGAGGTAACTGGAGGGCTAGTTGCCACCGCTGCTGGTGGCCTTCCTCTGCAGGAGGTGACTGGAGGGCGCAGGCCAGCGAGTGGCCAGTACCCCCCCCCCCCGCCAATTACCCAATCGCCACTAGTCACTGCCGCCCCTTGATCACCATCCACTCCTTCTGCTCACTGGCACCCACCTTTGCTGGCATGGTACTGCCCGCTTGCCAGCCCTGCCCCCTGCCAACTGTTCGTTCTGCCATTCAGCCAATTTGCATATTAGGCTTGTTATATAGGATTCCTTCTTAGGTTTTCTCACTTCCTCATTAGATGTATCCAGTGGGACTCATATCTTGAGGCAAACAGTGTCCATCTATCCCTCCTTCATGATGTTAATTTTGATTGCCTGGTCAAGGTTTTATCCAATTGTTCCAGTTTATAAATACAGTTTTTCCTTTCTTGCAACCATTCAGCAGTCTATGAAAACAAGTTTAAGATGGTGCAAATATCCTGTTCCTCATCAAAAATTCTCCCTACATCGAGCATCCAGTGATGGTTCTTATCCAATTTTTGCTACAATGGTTGTGAAATGATTGTCCAACTCCAGCACAACCTCCATATTTACCTGTTGGCATTCAACATGCTACCATAAGCAAAAGTATTTCCTTATTCTCTATTTTATTTATTACTGGAATGGATTTATAAAGTCTTGTATTTTTATAAATTCTAACCTTATTTTGAATGCAGGCTATATAAGGAAACTGCTTTGATGAACGTTATTGAAAAAGATCCTGACCTTCCATTAAGCCAGAAGAGCAATGCCTAAAATTTTTATAAGGAAAGTAAGATGTAAAAAGAATTCACTTACCTAATAAACTCAATTATCCAAAATATAGAGGAAAATGGCCTTTATACGAAATGCCACCATTATCAGACTTGTTTTAGCATTTTTTTATGAGGTTCTTTACTCTTATTTTATACATATATGCATATATTTAAAAATATTAGTTACTTGGTTTTCCAGGCTAACATGCTAAGGGAGGTGTGTTTGTGCACACACTGGCGGTGCTGTGACAGAGGTGCAATGATGGAAGGGAAGTCCTGAAGGTCAGTGCCGGGTGCCATTCAGATCAATCAGACTCCAAGGAATGCAGAATCATAGTCGGCCACGATTTTCCTATATAATAAAAGTCTAATAAGCAAATTGTCAACTGGGAGTTCAACCACTCACTGACTCTGATGAGAGCAGGAGTGCAGCAAGATGGTGGAGCAGGTGAGCGGGCAGCACCAGGCCAAGGCAAGTGAGAGCAGGTCTGAGGTGGGGGGAACTCCGAAGGGGGGACCGATCACCCTGCCAATGGCCCCGCAGATGGTGACCAGTGGTGATGGTGGGGAGGGCGCAGCAGGGCCACTGCCAGGCTCCCAGGCACTGAGGGAGAAAGGGCAAATAGTAATATTAAAATGTTTCTTCTAATTATTTCCATTTCAATATGCATGAATCCGTGCACCGGGCCACTAGTTTATTATAGGGTGAAGGGTACTGAGTACTTCCAAGCTCCTGGGGACATCTTGGTATTATAGCTTTCATTGTAAAGACATCTCTGAGTCCTTAGGAATGGGTTAAGCTTTACTGTGTTTTGTTAGTCGAAGGCAGAGGAACTGGTGATATTTCAGAAAAAGAAAAAAAGAAAAATACAAGTGATATAAGCTGTGTCTAGTGTTTAAGATGAAAACCTCAGTTATCTAGAATATCTATGTTCAATCCCTCACTGCTTCCTTTCCTTATGAGGCATTATTGAAATTGTCTTGAAAGTTATTAGTTCATGCAAACATTTATTTGTACACTAGCTGGTCTTTCTGAGAGCTATTCTGTCACTAAGTAAATACATCTTTGCTGATCCCTGCTCTATAGAGTCGCCCTTGTGAAATAACTCAGTTGTAAAATAAGGTCTTGTGCTTTCTGAAAGCTCATGCTCATATTTGAACGGACGGGTGATTACCTTTGTTCTCGGTACCTTAACATCTCTGACACGTTTCCCTTGACTGGGAATCATGGCAGGCTCACTTTGTACCTTGGGGGTCACACATTCTCTGTCTCTTCAATGTCCCTGTGCATCCTTCTCCTAAAAGTGGGTTTGAGTTATGCTGCTTTGCCTGTATCTTAAATCAGAATATAACTGAAAAATGTTCTCAAAATGCCTAGATTCAAGGTTAAGAGAAATAATAGAGGTACATGTTATTATTGAAGTTTTGTTGGCTGTAATAGAACTACTAATTAGGTGTTACTGAAATAATGCGCTTTCTTACCATACCAGGTTGATTCTATCTTGGCAGCTATAATGAGATTAGTTGTTCTTTGCAGTGGTGGTCTCTGGATTTTGAAACTGCTTGTTCTCCATCTAAATTAGTTCTTGGCTTACCCCTTGGAAATAGTTTTGATGGATAGTAGTAAAACTGCTACATAATGGTGATTCCTCCGAAGTGATTTTAAGCATATTGAATTCTTATTGATTTTATTTTACATAATGGCATTCCTATTTTATACATTAGTACTTTTTGTTATACTAAGACATTTCATATATTTTGTCTTTTGGCAAAAGCAAATGCAATACAAAAAGCAACTTACAGAATGCACCTGTAATAAAAGATGCCGGGGTAAGGAAAAATTGCTGCTTGTCCTCTTTAATTATAAAAAGCTGTAGTTTTATTTGCATATCAGTGAATGTAAAGGGACATTTACTTTCTCAAATAATTCTCAAACTATGACCAAAAAAGAGAGAATGAGCTTTTTTTCTTGTATTTTTAACATAAACTCTTAATTTTATCAAGTTCAGAAATTTGAATTTAACAGAATACTAAAGGCTAATAAAATTATTTCACAAGTTATCAACACGAGAAACAGATTTTGAGTAAATTATTCCAAACTCAGAAATTCCGTCTGTATAAGAATTTTTATATCCATGGCCTAGCTTCATGAGTCACATGACTCTTTCTCTTCAAAGACCAAATGAAATTTCACTGCTCTTACAGTAAACTGTGAAAATTATTGGCAGATGTAGGAACACAGGTTCATTTACTTTTATGAAACCTCAATTCAAGTTTAAAGTAATTGTTAAGACATTTATACAAAATAGGACACCCTGTTGTTCCTCAGTTTTCCTGTTTTGTAACAATAGCGATAATGGGATATACTCAAGAAATAGCCCATTATAATTATTTATAAATATATATGTATAATTGTTGTATTATTGTTGGCACACAGCCAACTCCCTTTTTCTTAATCTTTTACTAACACTTAAAAAAAAAAAGCCTAAACATTTATCCAATTTGATAACGAGAGGGTTTTTCCTTTTAAGTGCTAATCCTGTTTTCCTGTTGTTTCTTTGGGACTTGAAGCAATTCACATCTATGGGAAAACTTATGTATACATAATACATTTTCACCCACGTTTTATCAATAGTCCGTTTTCCTTGTTTTGTTTTTTCAGTCTATTCTCATTTGAAAGCTGTTTGTTTTTCTTCTTTTGGTTTCTTTACTTCTCCCCGTGATTTCATCATGATTCTTTTAAAGACCTTCTTTAAAAGTAAAATGGAGTAACAATGAAAAGCCAAGAACTTTGCCCATCCTTGTTTTTTTTCCTTTTTGTTTTTTAAACTTGTCTTTGTGTGGGTGAGTCCCTATTTAAGAGAAGAGGGTGGAAAGACTTTCCAGTTTCCCTAACTAGAGTAAAGGGCTATGACACAAGGCTGTCAAAAGAAGAAATAATTAGTGGTCTTCAATATACAGGATTAATCAGTTCTGTTTAGTGGTTACTAAAGAGAGGAAGGAAACCAAGTGGGGACAATTTTGGCCCGTTCACGTTTTCTACCCAGTGCTATTACACAGTATTCCTTCCCCAGGCACGTTGCGTAGAGAATAATCATCCATTTACAAGTGGGCTAATGACTACATATACAAAGGTGGCTCACTTAAAAACCATCCATTTATAGTCACAAGGCATCAAGTGGTGCTAATTTTAAGTAGGCCACCCCATGCACTTACTGCACCCGCCGAAACCACACCTTTCCACCATTTATACCAAAATCCATCCCTTTTTCATTCACGGAAGTATTTACTGTTTCAGAATCTCCGTGCATTGACGTGTGAAAATACCGTTCACCTGCAACTCATCCATCTGAGACCCAGGGGGGGAGGGGGGGGATGCCAAATGTCTGTCATTTGCTCATTAAGCCAAGGGCAGCAGCCTGCACCACACTTACACGAAGACTGCTTCTAACACTTTCCGAATCTCAATGTGAGAGTATCGGCCACCATAACTGAGGACCCTAAGGCCCTGGGGTGGCTCCTCGCTTTCGGAGCCCCCCCCCCCCCCCCCCCGCCCCCCACACACACACACCAGTCTGCAGCGAATTTTAAAAAGCACTGCGGGCGCAGGCAGGATACGTGATCTGGGGGCCCAGGGCTTCCAGACTTTGTTCTCCGGCCTGGAAGGTGAGGTGCCGGCGCTGAACCGGCAGACAGCACCGTGGATGGATTTCTCCGGTGCGGGGAGGGGGGACCCCACCTGCCGGCCTGCCCTCCGCGCCCCCAAGTTTGGCGGGTAGCGGCCCCTCCCTCCCTCCGTCCTTCCCGGGAGCGCGCCGAGGCCCCGGCGGGCGCCGGGCGGCAGTTGGGCTCGGCGGGCGGGGGCGCGCGCGGGGAGACCCTACCGGCCGCGGCGCGCGGGGCCGGCGCGAGCGCGCTCGGTTGGTGCGCGAGCGCGACTCCGCCCCGCCCGCCCGCCCGGCGCGCGTCCCCGCGTCCCCGCCAGGCGGCCCTCCTCCCCCAGCCCCGGCGGACGGGGTGGATCCCGCCCGCTCCCCTCCCCCGAGTGCCGCGGCGGCGGCGGGCGCTCAATGAGAGACGCCGAGTGGTCGGGTCGCCGAGCGCTCGCCTAGGCGGCGGCGGAGCGTGAGGCCAGCGGGTCTCCCCATCCCGCGAGGCGGCGGCCGCGGCTGCACAGGTCGGTGCTCCGGCGGCGGGCGGGCTGCGGAGCCGGGGCGGGCGGTGCGGGGGAGGGAGAGGGAGAGGGGTGCGCGGTGCCCCCCGGGCGGAGCGGAGCCGCGGCGGCGGCGGCGGCGGCGGCGCGGGGAATGGCGGCGGCGGCGTGAGCACCCTCCCGGCCCCCGGCCCGCGCTGCTCGGCCTCGGCGCGGGGAAGGGGCGGCGGAGCCGGGGCGGAGGGAGGAGGGCGCCGGGGCCCGGGGCGCACCTCCCCCGGCGGCTCGGGGTCCCCCCCGTCCGGTCTGTCTGGGAGCCGGGGGCGCGTCGACCCCCCCGAGCTCGTCTCGCGCCGGGTGTCCCTCCGCGGTGGCTGCAGCCCCTGCCTCCGCCCGCGCTGCCCGGCGGCGCCGCAGCCTCCGGCCAGGTGAGCGGCGCGGGGACCGCCGGGCGAGCCACACCCCCTCCCCGGCCGCGGCCGCGGCGCCCCCGGAGCCCGGTCGCCTGCGGAGCGCGCCGCGGCCGCCAGGGTGACCTGTTGCGGAGCGGGCCGCGGCCCCCGTGGCCCGGCAGCCTCGGACCCGGGGCGGCCGGGGCTGCGCTGGCCTCGCTCGGCTCGGCCCGGCGCGGCGCGCGGTGCGGGGCCCGGGGCGCTGCCCGCGGTCGGGCGGCTGCACCGCTCGGAGCGGGCGGGTGGAAAGGAGATTTTCCGGACGGCTCAGATCAAACACTTGCAAAGCCCGGCTATCTGTCTGCAAATATCCGGAATTCCACTGCAGTATCGGATTAGCAGGGCTCGTAAACACCGCGCCGGGGAGGTGACTTGGGAGCAACCGAGCCCCCCCGAGCGAGGAGCTCCTCTCTGGGAAAGAGCCGCAAACCTGTGCGGGGCCGAGCGGTCCCCCCCTGCAGCCCCCCGCCACTCCTTCCCTGTGGCCGGGTGCGCGGTGTAGACGCAGGCGAGTTTCAGGGTACGTGGGCGTGTTTGGGAAGAAGCTGCGAGCCGATAGGAGGCACCTTGTGCAAATGTTAATTTGTTTGAACTGGGAGGGGTGAGGGAGGAGGAAGAGAGGGCACCGATGTTCGCCGTGGAGGAGGGGCAGTGGAAACACTAAGAATTTCTTGTTTAGGAGAGCGCTACAAAGAAATATCTTCATACCCAGTGTTTCAGACCACGAAGTGGTTCATTGAGCTTTATCTCCCATAGGCCCTGGGTTTTTTTTAAGATGCAACGCGGCAGCTGCTGTAGAGAGAGCCCTTGTTTTCGTACCAGCGTTGATGGGTTGACTTTGGTGGTCTTTTGTGTTCACCCTCAGATTGACTCCTGTTTTCAAGTCTTTTTGAGGAGGACCATCAGAATTTGAGAAAACTTTTTTGATCCCGTGCACGCATAGTATTGCAGTCACAGATCCTACCTTGTTGTTCATAAAAGCCTGTTGAACCCAGATGATTATGCTTTATACAAGTGCTGTAGAATCATGCATACAATGTTTATTATAACATTGTTGCTGACTGTATTACTGTAGACTTTAGCGTTATGAAGGAACTTATCCAAAACTATTATTTTAATAAAAATAACCTCTAACTCTTTGTAAGCATAAAGTTTACTAGCTTATAGGTAAACTATAAGGACAGTAAATGGTTTTTTTTAATAAAAAACTTCGTTGTAATTTAAGCAGTTTATTTTCTCTTTTTAAAAATTCAGTATAATAATTTTGAAATGGCAAGATCTTCCTTTTTTCCATTTTATTCCAATTTTCTTTCAATTAGGAATTTGACTTTTAATAAAAATACATTGGTGAGACTCCGGAAATATTGTTCACTTGCCTAAATAATTCAATATCGCAACAGGACTTTAAAGATAGTGCTTGCATTATCAGGATTGCAACATACTTTAATATCAGAAAGAACACCAAAATTTTTTGAGAGAAAATACAACTGAAAAACTGGATTTGTGAATCTTTCATGAACTTCTGTTACACATGTGAGTAGTGTATTTGTGGATGTTTAAATATCTAGTACATGTCGTCTGATACCTGAGAGAGTAGTTGTTTGTGGTGAATGATGGCTATGGAGGTGAAATTGCTCTGTTGCAACTTCAAACATTGAAGCTTTTGTCCAGATCCTTCGTTCCCTCATTCATTCATTCATTCATTCATTCATTGAACACATATTTATTGAGTACTTGCTTGGTACCTAAATGTTGGGGATACAAAGAAAAAGATAGGTCTGTGTCCTGGTAGAGCTTAAAGGGTAAGAGGGCAAATAGTCTACTGCTTCCTTGTCAGAAAACAGTGTTTAATGTTAGTTTAAGTAAGAACTCTGATGAGTTGTGTTTTTTTTAATTAAGGATATTATTTGTGTTTTTTTCCTTCTAAGAATAGTGGGAATAATACTGAGTGAACAAAAGCAGTAAGACAGTTGTTTTAAGGGTGTCTGGTTCCCAGCTATACCAAAAATAAACATCCTACCTGAAATTAGATAACACAGAGTTTACATGTAGCTAAACAGCTTCATTCTTTTGGCTTATTTAAATGAAATGTTTGCTAAAAATATTCCCTCTTGGTGCTTGTTTATAATAGGAGAGTCTAATTCTTTTTCAAGTCTAAATTAAAAAAAAAATAATCATCTGGCTGGCTGGCTGTGTGTGTGTGTGAATGGACCAATGTCCTACTTTTCTTCCATAGAATCTATAACCATTAATAGCTGAAATCAGAAAAGCTTGAAAGTGATTGGTTCCCTTTTTGATTGAAATCTGACAACTATTGGTGTCATTCTTTACAGATTTACAAAGCTTTTCGCTATATTGATACTTTGATACTTCTCATTGACAGGACCCTATGTAGGCATTATCATCTCCATTTTAGATGAGGAAAGGGTTTGGAGATGGTAAGCATACAGGGAAAGCAGAGAATCCCAACCCCCATGGCTATACTGTGTTCCACGCTGGAGAGTAAGAAGCTGTGGAAAGAGCATCCACATCTCTTGCTACTACAGTTCAGCATGGAGTATAGCTCCTGGGCTGCTCGTCCAGAAACCCCTAAACTTTAAACTCAACTAGTTACTGAAATTCAGTTAACCGAATTTTTCCTTTTGTGAGTTCAACTTCCAAACCTATTTATATCTAAAAGTATTGCTTGTTTTGCTATCTAAATGAGATAATTTGGTTTTATATCTCATGATATAAATATTTATAGAATAAGTTGTGTTAAAATCAATTCTGCTTTTTGATTATGTGGTTTTTCTTATGTAATGGAAGAAAATATGGAGTGAAATTGTTGCTTCAATCTGAACATATTTTTTAAGTTACTCAATTTTCAATGAAAAGATAAATTGTTTCTTTAAATGTGTGTTATTCCCATCGGTTTAGTGTTTCTCTTTTGTGAGAGAATGAAGATTATATGTGATAAATTTTGGTAATTTGAAATTAATCTGTAATCTTTCTTGATCAATATCTTCAGCCTTTGATTTAGGAAAAAAAACACTGGAATTTGAAATGGTTGACATCCACCTAATCTATGGGAAGAAACGAGTTTGTGTATACAAATGTACCCCATCACATTAATAAGCAGTGGCTTAGGCACAGGGTGCCTGGTAATCTGTATATTCCACTACAGAGACCCTTCAGTACTGGCTCTTCAGTGAGCCGTTGCTTTGGAATATGAGAAGCTTAAAACGTCTATCCTACCTTGAACTTAATTTCGTACACTTCTTTTATTTTACTTACATGACCTTTTCTCAAAACAGATTCTCCTTTTTAGGTTGATTTTTCCTTTTGGCTGTGTCTTGGAGAGCCCTTTTCTATTTGTTGATTCATTTTATGTATTTTTCCCCCCAAGATTTTTAATTGATTTTTAGAGAAAGGAAGGAGGGGATGGGGAGGGAGAGAAAGAGAGAGAGAGAATGAATCATTGATTGGCTGTCTTCTATATACCCTCCTACCAGGGAGAGCCCGCAATTGGGATGCTCTGACCAGGAATCAAACCCACAACCTTTGCTGCATGGACAACACCCAATCAACTGAGCCACACTGGCCAGGGCCTGAGAGCCCTTTTCTGAAAACTGTACCTACATAACACGCCTATCACACTTTACCCTTACCTTTATTTTTCTTCACAACATTAATTTATTTGGTATTCTAGCATATGTTAATTTCTTTATATTATTATCTGCTTTCCTCTGGATGTAAGCTTCATGAAGGCAAGGGCTTGTGTTGTATTCACTGTTGTATTCCTAGCATCCAGAAAAGTGCCCGGCACCATAGTCAATCCCAGGTATTACGTGTGGAGTGACTGAATTATGTGTGGAGTGACTGAATTAATAGGCATTAAGGGTTACAAAATCCATTAATTTTATTTGTTTTAACTTTTTTTATAAACTGCCTCATTATATTCAAACACATCAAGTAATTGATTGTTAAAAATTTTTTTAAAATATATTTTATTGATTTTTTTACAGAGAGGAAGGGAGAGAGATAGAGAGCTAGAAACATCGATGAGAGAGAAACATCGACCAGCCGCCTCCAGCACACCCCCTACTGGGGATGTGCCCGCAACCAAGGTACATGCCCTTGACGGGAATCAAACCCGGGGATCCTTCAGTCTGCAGACCAACGCTCTACCACTGAGCCAAACCGGTTTCAGCCAAATTTTTTTTTTAATTGGGCAAGTCCAGGGACTCTTACCCTTCTGCTGACATTTGCACTGTGGCTCATTCCTGCAACACATTAGTTTGTGATCGCCCTTCACAGAGATTCTGACCATTCTCCCTGCCTTTTCCCTGTGTTGAGCCTGTGATCTCTGGACTCCTGCTTTCCTCTTTCTCAGTTGACACCTTTGTTTTGGTAAAATGCCTCCCTCGGTAACTTTCAAAAAAGAAAGTATGAGAAGGTAAAACTTTTGAAATGTTTGTATTGCTTAAAATATCTTCTATCATGACACTTGGTTGATTATTTGGCTGGTCTGAGTATGGAATGCCAAGGTGAAATATTTTTCCCTCAAAATCCAAGGGCTCCCATTATAAT